AGCTTGTCGTATTTTCCCGTAATGTCGTATGCGTTTTGCTTTAAATTAAGTATATTTTAATGTATATTAGTTAGCTATATTTAATTGTGTATATACATATGTAACTTTTTTCGTCGTGTAGTAACTTACATATGTACGTGTAAAAATAAGGATCCTAAAATATAAGTAGCGCAATTGGTGTACTGACCTAATATTTAAGCGGCGCAATAGGTGTAACGACCTAAAATTTAAGCGGCGCAATTGGTATACTGACCTAAAATACAAATATTGTTTTAGGCGCAACTGGTTCATGCTCGTATAATGATAAAGTTTAATATATATGTCATTACTCGTTACCTACCCATATATCGGCTGATCACTTAAACGCATCTAAAATTACGCATTCTTGTAAAATTATCTCTTACATAAGTTGAGCTATGATTACTAACGAAGTTTTTATTAAAAACGTATTATTTTTATATATTTTAATTATTTAGTAAATTATTTATTATTAACATAAGAGGTACTGGTCAAAACTCATTAAATTATACGAAAGTTTTGTTACCTCCACCACAAGTCTTGGTACATTCTGAATAGCCGGTCAATTTCCATAGAAACTTYTTTTTCCTGGCTTTATTACGTGGTTTTGCAGCTTCGTCGCCAATGAATCCTTGATACTCCGACGGTGTTCCGTGTGGTTGGTCCTGGTTGAATTTCCTGCGAAATAAAATATTTCTAGCTATACTCACGCCAGTTGTAATATCACACAGCGCATTGTTACGAAATAACTCTATTACAATATAATATAATATTATGTTATTAACTTACGTTTTGTCTTCGTTGTCGAGTTCCGACCCTTTATCGGTCGCATATACTTCGTCGCCAATCGGCAAATAGTTTCCTGCAACAAAACCAGATAGAAATAAAAAATTGACTAAACGTGCCGAGATAGAATATAACGTCATGATATCAAACTGAAACAAAAACTAGCCCTTGTGTTCAGAATTACTTCTGCCACCTCATGGGGGGGAGGGGTATTACATGTTATTTTGTCGTTACACAATTTAGATTCGCTTATATATATATATATAATATATAYAATACGCACGTAAAATGTACGRTTGTTTTTGATCATTTTTTACGAAATTTTGAGTAATTACTTTATGGTATCTACAAATACTATTTTGGGTTTCGAATAATTAGTAGTTATAATKTTCTACGTGTGATGTTTGGATAAACGAATTTCGAGACCGTTCGTTTTTTATTGTATTTATATTATACAAWCATGAGCAAGTCGACCCGAGTCAGCAGTATTATATTATTGTTATCTATCTTAGCGTGCAAGATATTATATTGTACAAAACAGGGCGTTTCAAAATTTAAATTAATAGCCTACTAAAATCGGATGTATCGTTTCGAAACACACTGTATTGTAAATGAAATAACAAAAATGTGCCAATACCTGGATGATATGCAGACATGTGCGAATGGTGTCTGATCAACGGTGGCGTGATCGACTCGTCCTGTGCAGGGGCGTCTAGTGGTAGTTTGTATTCGTACTTGATGCCGGGATTCGTGTACCTGAACACCAACTGCAAACGGGACAAGTCGCAAATCGCGCGACAATGACGGCAATGAAATATTAATAACAATACAAATGTGCAAATAATCAATAATATTATGAGTTGTAATTACAATGAGGTCTACGGACTCTGATAGCGGTCCTGAGGCAAATATGGATTCTCCCGAATTACCGTTTTCTTTCCGATAAGTGAATACCGTACCCGCTCCTTCGTAGTCTCCTGGCCAACTATTCGTCCAATTTCCGTTCAAAATGTATACTCCAACAGTATGTTTCAACGCTGCAAGTAAGTTGGTACGATGTCAATTATTAACCGTATTCGAAAGAACTATAATATTATGATAATATGTAATGCCTAAGATATGAGTACGTTTWACAGTAATCATAATAAAGCATGATGCAATAAACATCGATCTAAACATAAAACCTAATTTGATTATAATATTATTGTATACCATGTAGATGATCTCTATACTATTGAGTATTTATTTTTATTTGTTTATCATGTGCATTTTACCTATGACCTAAGCTGGAATTAAAACACCGCCTAACAATTCTTTGATTTTCAACTTTAATATATTTTATGTAGGAAGATAAATCAAGATACCTTCTAGATATTTTGGGAAGCTCAAACTGATATTTTCTTGGTATTTTTTAAAATATTGGGAAAACGGGAAGTTTTCAAATGGCTTGTCTTTTTTCGAGTTATTTATAGACATTAACATTTTAGATTTTTTTAGTTCAAATTTTAGGCGAAATTAGATGATTTTAGGTAGATATGTATTTTGCTGTTATTAAAATTTTTAAGTTTATTAGCTATTATATTTTATACCTATATACAAAAACTTTTTCATTTTATATTTTAAGCTATTGACTATTTATTTTAATGTTAAAAATGTAAAATATTTACGCCATTCTACAGAAATCATGTATATTGACTC